GCGGCCCGGCCTGAGGCGCGCAGAGGCACCGCCCTCTCCCCGCCCGGCCGCCGCACCGCCTCGGCAAGGTACCGCCTCCTCCGCGGCGGCTGGGCGAGACCGTGCCAGGTGCGAAGGGAGGTGAAACCTCTCCGCGAGGCTGCCCCACGGTAAGGAAAAACCCCCTCCCTTCCCGCACCTCCGGCGGCGATTGGTCCGCATCCCGCACTCGCGAACGGTGATTGGCTGGAGACTACCGGTGCTGGGCGTGATTGGCCGGCGGGGAGTGGCGCCTTTTTCCTCTCAGTAACAAAGCTCTTGGGAGAAATGCCAGCGACCACGTGTGTGTTGAGGGTGGAGATCTCGCTCCCTTGTCGAGAAGGAGGCGCTTGGAAGGGGTTTATATTTTTTTTTCTCTTGCTTGCATGACTAGGCAGGAGATGAGAGACCTGTGAGGTGATAGCAAAGGCTTCAATGTAGGCCATTGCATTCTTGTATTGGAAAAAATAATTTAAAAATCACCCTCTATTTGTTACTTCTGTATTGTTTAGTAGTATGGAAGTGACTAGTGTGTGTTCCCAGCTGCTTGTACCACAGAAGTTGTTCTCTATTTTTAATTATTTCATTTTGCTTTGCTTTGTCTATGTAATTACTGGGATGGGGAGACCAAACTTCCATGCATGGTAGATTGGTCCATATAGATTTATTTATACAAAGCATGAAAAAGTTTGTTGTTTTTTTACATGTTAACTCTCAAAGAAAATAATTTTGTTTGCTCTTGAGTATTAAGACAGACTCTCAAAATAATTTTGTTTGCTCTTGAGTATTAAGACAATGTTTTCATAAAACTGTAATTTCCAGATCTTGCTTCTTGGTGGTAGTAGTAATCTTGGAGCCCATCACTGTATGCATAATTAAGAAGGCTTTTTCCCTTTGTGTGTTTATCACATTTTTCTTCAATTATTTAATCTACCATTTTATAATTAGGCCCTTCTCGAGTTTGCTGTTGATTTACCTATTCTGAATAACACAGTGCTGACAGTATAATTGGCCATCTTCATGCTTCTTTTCTCACTGAGAAATATTGAGAGTCTGTTGCAGGCCCATCTGTTCCTCCATCGCCAAAGTTAATTGTTCCTTCCACTCTTAACTTTAAGCAATTGCTTATCCGTGTAAGGATGTTTCCTTGTATCCCCAGTTAAATTTCCTAAATAGTATTTATACTAGTGAAAATTTTTGGAATTTCTAATGTATTTTGACTGATTATTGATGGATTTGCAAAACCTATTTGAAGTCTATGTCAGTGAATTGTGTTTTGGTCAAGTGATGATTGTTCTCTTCTTATGCAGCTGAGTAGATAAATTGCAAAAATGGCAGCCAGGAGCGAGATGCAGGTATGTGCTTATGGACCACAATATGAGTATTGATTGGCTTAATTACTAGCTTAAAACGTTACTTCTGGTATTTAATTACAAGTAAAATTTGCAGTATGGCAAGGAATGTAGGAAGAAATTTTCCTTTGACATAGGTTAGTGCTAAGCAGCTGTGTAGAAAGCAAGAGGAATTGGAAATTGCTATTGATGAAAATAAATCATATGTGTTTGACATACATGAATTAGTTGGGAACATACTTAAGATTAAAATGTTGAATTCTGGTTGTCATTGATTTAAGAAGAATAGAGTGATGAAATAGTTGAGGAAGGCAGAAGTCCTTAAATTTGTAAATATCTTTTAAAGTCCCTAATAGATAACTTAGAGGTACAAAATATTAAATGTACTAAGGAAGGGGTATTAACACAATGAGCACTTACGTAAGCATTTATTTGTAATATGAGGAAAGAAAAACCTTTCCATTAAGGAAAACTGACAAATAATTAAAAACTCAGTGAATAAGTATTTGCATAATTAATGTATTAGATATGGTGTTCTGTACTTTAGATTTTACATTTAATGATTTTGTGATTCAGAATATTTGCTTAGAACGCAACAGGTGATTGTGTAAAACCTATGTTAAATCTTGTTAAATCAGTATTGGTGTTTATCAGTGTTAACCACAGAGTAATACAGTTGCTCTGTTTTCTTTTATGGTTGACAGTTTGAAAAGTTAATTGATGAAGCTACACGAAAAAAAGATTTCCAATTATTAGAACAATTTTTGGCAACAGAAGACTGTGAAAATGTCTCCTACAAATGCAGCAAACAGTTTGTCAACAAATTAGACAAGCTTCTGTGTCGGGTAATTTAATCATTACAATGACAGTATAGATGATTCTGATGTAGTAGTCTGAAAAAGATTTTTCATTTGGCTTGGTTTATACCAGCAGTTGAATTGAAAAACTGAAATAAAATTTAAGAATTAAATCTCTAGTTCGAGCTGCAATTAAGGTGGCTTTTGAGAACCAAAAAGCATCTGGTTAATTAAATACATGTTCTTCTAGAACCATACACTAAAGCTTATGTTATAATTTCAATTTCAGGAACTTGACAAACAAGAAGTCAAAAGCATTTCCACTTTACTAAATTCTATTCAGAAATGTGGGAAAAAAATCAGCATAGCAGGAGAAGATGGGCTCCCAGCGATGATAAAATACGGTCTTATTGGAAGGATAAGTAAAACCATAAAGCATATGTGAACTTCTAAAACAAAAAATAAAAATTAATAAAGCATGCATAAGTAATGCTTCAGTGCTGAACAGCTTAGTATTCGATTTGGTCCTTAATTGTTTCTGAGTTAGGAGTTTTCCATAACTTTGCAAAAAACGTTATTCAAATTTAAATGTTCTTCGGCAAGTGGCTCCTTATAAAATGATGCTGCTCTACTACGGTGAAGGTTTTGCAAATTATGCAATATATAATTAATTTAGATATGCTTACAGCAATTACAACAAGATGAGATCTCTCTATAGGAGCTTGCTGTACTGCTTCTGAGTCAGGAATTGGAATTTCCTGGTGCACTCTAATAATTTTTTTGTTAATACTTGCAACAGCAATATTGTACCTGTTCTTTCAACAGACTATAGTGCTATTCTGATTATTTTGTGTTATTTCAACCTGCATGTTAAATGCATTAATCATTTATAACTCAACATAGTAAATACACTGAAAAATAGACATTACTTCCTTACTGCTTTCACCGGAGATTCCACTGAAGAAAATTAGTGGCAATGTCAGATGAGTGTTACTCAATTGCCTCCTACTTTAATTTAAAAAAAAAAAAAGGTAGTGATAACTTCATCATTATAATCTCACTTACAAACACACTTTTCATTCAGCCATTATCCATTTTCAGCTCTTTTTTCTGTGATGGCAGTTGTAAAAGTACATATCTAATTTTTGTTTTAGAAAGTCAGCTACAGGAATTACATTAGTTTGAAATAATCTACACTTGTTTAGTGTGAGTGAAAAATTTCAGTCTGGGGCTAAAGTACACTCAAGCAAATTGGTAACATTGTTGCTGTTCTTCTAATCTTTGTATGGTTTGTATAATTTTACTTAAGTATAATAAAAACTATTGTCCTTTTTCATGCTATTAAAATAGATTTATTTTCCCTTTACATGGTTAATTGGTTTGAAAAGCTAAAAGGAATTTTGATCCTCAGAGGAAATGAAAAGAATGATATGCTCACAAGTCTGGCTGAAGATTTCTTCAACATGTTGCTGGTAAAAATATATTGATAATAAAATACATTGGTGTATTTGTCAAAACAATTATTACTAGTTTAGTAAGAAAAAGACTTTCAAATCTATTTCTCTGTAATAGCCTTCTAAAGTTAATGTTACAATGATTTCTGAAATGGATTATGTCTTTCTGGATCAATAGTTTGCCTGATTTCATACTTGTTTTCTGTTCATGATTAGCATCATGAAATAAAATTTAAAAAAAACAAAAAACAAAAACCAAAAACCTTAAGTGTTCAATGAACAAAAAATTTCATCTTGGTCTAATTTTGATTACATAAATTATTGGTATGATAATTCCAGGACCCCAAATTTATGAGGTCTGTGAGTTTTCTTCTGTTCATAAAAATTTTTGTCATTGGGGAAATAATTTCCATAAACTTAACTGAAATACAATTTTGGGAAACCGCACTTGGTATTAGAAGAAGTCTCCTGTGTTCTTCATTAAGGATTAAATAATTTTAAGATCTTAAATGCTTTTTGATTACTTGCTTTAAGTATATGTTACTTGATTTTTGTGCTGTGATATTTACAGTATCAAAATGATGTGTTTTGTTTTATTTTTTATTGTAGGCTGTATATGACGGTAGACCTGAAGTTTTGATTACTGCTTTAAGTATATGTTACTTGATTTTTGTGCTGTGATATTTACAGTATCAAAATGATGTGTTTTGTTTTATTTTTTTATTGTAGGCTGTATATGACGGTAGACCTGAAGGTGAGTTTAAAAAAACCTGTACACTAGGTATGGTAGTTAAAGTGTTCCGAAAGAGACATTTTAAAGTTATCATCAGTGTTAAAATAACTCTTACTACTTGTGGAGCCCTGTTGAGGCAAGGTAGTTCTGAGAAGAGCATGTATGAGGGTGATACAAAGTTTCTTGATCTAATGTAAATATACCACGGGATCTATATGCTTCAGCTAATAAACTCTAATGGAAAAGGGCTTATCCTCAAGAGGGCTGTTCAGTGCACAAAGGACTACATTTCTCAGTCATGTGAAAAAAGCTTGAATGTCAACTGTAACTTTGATTGTTTAGTCTGAGGTTTCCGTACTGACAGATTTCCTTATAACTTGCTGACGTCAGTAATAAAAAAGCAGAATAGTCTGGTCTCTGAAGAGATGACAATTGAACTGAGTTTTTCCTAAAAAGAATATTGTTTCTAAGCTGTTTCTCAGCATAGCACAGTAGTCCTTCTTTATTGACCTTGTTTTAGTGAATATCGTGCTGCTCTTGCCTTTCAGTATAGCACTAGGTGGAAAGTCACTAGAGACTGTTATGCTGTCAGGATCAAAATGAAAGATTCATTTCCTTTTCCCTGGTAAGATAAATTCCAGGGTCTGAATTATATCTCAGAGAGCTAAGTTACAGAATTGATCTGATTATATTTTTAAAATAATGTTCTCATGCCCAGGGGACTTATGCAGTGATGCACAGGAATAGAAACATTATAAAGAGCCATATGTACTACGAATTGAAGTAATTATTATGTCTTGCATTTAACCACGAAGCTTGTTTTATTTCTAAATGAAAATTAATCTTTGTCCAAATGCTGATTAGGGGGCACCCTAATACACTCTTGATAACTCTTTAATGTATTTTTTCCTGTTCATTAGGTAAAATGCAAATACTAGAAAACTTTGTTCTGAGAATATGTACTCTCATCGCGGATGTAAGAGTTAGTATTTATGTTGAGCAGGAGGTAAACATTCTTCTTTCTAAGCAACAGTTTTCTGGTTAGTGTTTTAATAGACTTTGTGAAGATAGTAATTTAACTGTACAAATGCTACAAAAAAGGGGGGGAATATTTTAGTGCTCTAGTATCAGAAGGATGATTTAATGTTTCTCTGGGAATGTTTGTTGTCACTTATATGTTGGGTTTTTTTTCAGGTTACCAATGTATAGTTCTTGGTTTGGACAGTAAATTACAAAATGGTGGTATTAAGATTCTGGTGAGAGAGCTGTATAAAAGCATAGGAAATATGCTCTGTTAAAATTGCTATAAATAGGATTAAGATCATTGGTTGTAAATTCTTTAGACACTGGCAAGAAGTTTGTATGCCTTCTAGTATACTGCAAATTTCTCTATTTCAGTAACCTCAGATTGTCAGCTTTTTTTTGTTAATCTCTAAAGAAAGGGAGAGTTACAAAAAAGTCTTCTGTAAAGGTTACATCCCAAAGGAAAGTCTTTTTAATGCAAATTTAAGGTATACTTTAGCTCAGTAGTCAACTGCTGGCAAAACTCTAGCTTTGAAAGGTTTTTTTTCTGTATTTAAACCTGCAAATAAGAAAATAACCCTAATGTTCACATTAAAGCTAATGTAATTTATTGAAAATGAAGTAGTTGTATTAAGGTAAATACCATTTAAGGTCAGATAGAACTCATTGTCTTTCCTTGTTTTGCAACTATTTAAGCATGACATTTTCTTCAGTGGTATGAAACATATTACAAGGGCCCAAAATAAGAATAATTTAAATGTTAACCACTTACTTTATATTTAATCTTGCTCCCTTTTTTCCACTCATCTTAGGTAGTAAGAAAACTTAATTTAATGCTTGACAACACGCCTCGAGATGCCAGGAAAAAGATATTTTCTACACAGGAAATGTTTCTTGTCATGTAAATAATCTTCAGTATTATTTTTTATATCATTAGATTATTTGCATAGCTGGGAAGGCAATTTTTACCAAGGCTGTTTATAATGCATGCAGATTGGTCCCTGTTTAACTCACTTTAGCATTTGCCACCGTGATGCCAGCAGTAGTGGCTGTGTGCAGGTGTTCTGGTGGGTTGTTCTCCGTTACAAGCCTAAATTTACCTCTTTCCCAATCTGCACTAGGCTTCTTCTTATCCCAGTTGTCTTAAAATAATTAAACTCTTCTTTTATAAGAATGTGTGTAAAGCACAGTCAATTAGTCACTGGAAGGACAAGCTATTCGCATTGGGGAGTTTTTTTTTTTTACAGCATTTCAAAACATAAATAGAATAAAAATTACATATGTCAGGTAATTGTCTAATTACTTTAGTGGAATGAGGGTTTTGTCTCTTACATTGAAAGCTTGTAATTAAATAAAATTTTCTTCTGTGCTTTGTGTTGCTGTCATATTTTGATGAAATGTTACTTTGTTTGGCAGGAGTGACATGGGGAGGAGAATTTTGGAAGCTGGAGGTGAGCATGGGACTTAATAAACAATTTAGTGTTGAGCTTGTTGAAAATTACATGCAGACCCATTGAAAATCCAGAGAAGACATTTAGAAGCTGCAGAATGTTGTGATTACAGTCCTCTCAGAAATACAAATACTGCACAAAACCAGTCTGCAAACTGGAATGTTTCAGATGTATGCAGTGTATGGCTAACTGTCTTTGAAGTTTTCAGTCCTTTTCTTCTCTAGAATATAAGTTTTAAGATGGCAAAAGCTCATAAGGAAGTCAGTCTTTGAGGATAGCGCACTGCTAGCCATGTTTCGTAGCACTATAACTTCTCTCAGGGATTGCTTTGGTATCCAACAATTTCCCAGTTCAGACAGGTGAAAGTTGAAAACATCCTGTCTCTTGCTTATATGTCCAGTGTTGCTCTGACACTCCTTGGAAGTTCAGTTGAAATTTCATATTGAAACATAAGTTGTTTAGTCATCCTTATCCCCTTAGTTCTTTATCTATATATCCTTTATGGGTTACGTATTTGGATATAATGCGATACATAACATGAAACATTCAGCCCTGCTTATACCAATTTTCTACATAATATTTTTTTCACATCAGTAGTATCTTTAAAGCTACTGTTCCTGTAAAATGTATTGTGCTGTAGACTATGACCTGCAAGTAGCCATTACAGAAGCTTTATGCAGAATGGTATCAGAGAAACAAAGAGGAGAACTGGCGCGCCAGTGGTTTTCCATGGAGTTTGTGTCCAGTGCATTTAAAGGAATTAAAGATTCTGAGTTTGAAACAGTAAGTCATATGAAAAATATTTCCAGGGAGGTAAGCTTTTGGTTTACAATTCTTTAAGAAATTTCTGTGTTTTAATAGGATTGCAGAAAATTTCTTAACCAAGTGAATGGCATGCTTGGAGACAAAAGAAGGTAAACCTGAATTTTTTAAAGCTTTTTAAGTAACCTTTGTATCACAAAAACTGTTTTGGGGAAACTCCGAATTAAAATAATACAAGCAAATAAGATTAATACTGCTTTGGTATAAGGTCAAGGAACGATGTAAAGAAACTGAGTAGTACCATCTTTTGGCACATTGTCACTGACATTGTCTTCTCTATCAAGATGTTAATCTTATGTAATTCCCATATCTGGAAAAAAGCAAAACCTAATGTAAGTTTCAGATTATTAGGTAACAGCTTGAAGAAATTGTACACTAAATAAAGAACATGAATTTGAAAAGCTTCTTAAACAATATAAAGTGTGTGCTACACTTCCTTTAATAAATGTTTAGGAGGAGCTAGTTTTTGTATTCTATTTAGTTCTGCTGCAAAATCCTGAGATGTTCATTAATTCAATAAACAATAGCTACTAATCTGTTGGTATATATTATTTTATTTATTGATGTAGGATATTTACATTGAGATAATGATCAATGAGAATATCTGCTAGAGAAACAGGGCACAAAAAGGAAGCGAAAATACGAGCTTTTTTTCTGTATGATCACGTGCTGTACATGTTGCTCTTATATGTCATGACAGCAAAGAGATTGTCTGGTATGTCTTGATATCAAGTGTATAGTCAGTTTGAAAACCATTCTTAAAATATCAGCGGATAAGCTAGAAGTACGAACGTAGTGACAAGAGGTATGAGACCACAGCTTTAATTGTGAGGATTTCTAAAATTTCATGTTATCTCCTTTGGGGAAGAAGTGCAGTCTAGTGACTGCTCTTCTGATTGCTGTGATCTCTTAGTCTCTAAAGCACACAAGTTTTGTGCTGAAAACACAATCCAGTTGCTGTGTTCAGCTACGCAAAATTTGTTTACAGCATTTTAGGATACTTAACAAAATACCCTTTTCTTACAGGGTTTTTACATATCCGTGTTTATCGGCAGCTCTTGATAAACATGAGGTAAGTAACAGGTTTAATCATATATCCACAGATTTTCATTTGTGCAGCTGAAGAATTTCCTTGCCCTCTAGGTAAGAAAAAATAAGTATCAAGTAAGATTTTTTTTTTTTCAGGAGTATACAGATGTACATGTATTTAAAGTTTGTCAAACTGTAACACAAAGCCTGTTAGCTGGTATAAATCATTGCTCACAGCCCTTTATCTTATTTTTTTGTTTTAGCTACAGATACCATTGGATGAAAATCTTGAAGAATTTTGGATTGATTTCAATATTGGTAGCAGAAGTATATCTTTCTACGTGGCAGCAGATGATGCAGTAAGCTAATTTTTTTTTCTGTCATACTAGATTGTTCTGAGGCAGTAGATACGCTTGAAGGAATGTGTATCAAATTTGTTTCCCCACATCAACATGTAGAAGTTAAGTGTGCATCTATAGTGTGAAGTGGTGGTGGTGGTGGTGAAATCTAGATTTCGTGTACGTATTTAGACCAAACAGTTTCAAAGTAATGACTTTCTAATACTGTTTGCGAACTGTTTAACATATGCATACATGAAAAAGAAGCCATTTACATAATTGCACTTATAATTTTTGTAGATGAGACTCGACAGTTTAGGTTAATGTCTCTACCAAAGCTGTTCTGAAACATTGTTCGCTGTTGCTGATGAAGCATGTGTTCATTGTCGCTCCTTGTAACAGAGGATTTTAAAAGTTGAAAATTTCTCCTCACTAAATAACTTTCCGATCATTGAACTTCATTTAATTGTAATATAATGCTTTTCTAGTTTTAAAAATGTCTTTTTCATGTAAGGATCATCAGTGGGAAACAGTCATTATACCAGAAGAAGAGGTAGACCTGTACAGCCTTGAAGGTATTGGCACTCAAAAATGTGACCTTTTGTTCACACTAACTTGGATTTTCAAACTGATTAATCCTAAAGTTCTGACTCAATTCTCAGCAAAGCAAAATTCCCACTTAAAATACCATAGGCACTGTTTTTATCAGGGATAAAATTGCACTGCAGTCACATTTGCATTTCAGGCATGCAGGTGTGATTATTGTTAAAATAATTTTAAAATAATGTCTTATAATTTCAGTGCAAAATAAGGCATAAGACAATGACATTTAATGATGTACCTTTTAAACCAATTAGAAAAATTTTGTAAATATCTATAATTTGTCTGCAGCTATAATAAATGACCTTCAAAGAATTCTGCAGGACAATATACAGAATAAGTATTTCTATAAGATTGACTCTTGAGTTGTTTCACTAATAAAATCTATTGTAGGTTAGAGTGAATTAAATAAAATATACATCTTAATAGCTGAACTGAAGAAAACAAATAAGCTTAATGTATTTACAAACATTGTACAATGTTGTTAAACTTTAATGAAACTACTTTTCAAATTTTTTGTCCAGAAAAAGATTCAAAGAAATTACTAACGATATTGCTAAAAAGCCCAATGAATGTGGGTAATCAAGAAGGAGAGAAATTTTTCCTATATTTTGATTCTATCTTGGAAATCAAAGATGTAACCAGAAAGATTTATGGATTTAGTAAATGGAAGGTAAGGTTTAAACATCTCTTCAGTAGTTTTTTAATTGATTAAAAATAAATGTCTCATTGCCATATAAATGTTGTTAGAGCTGTGACTACTGGTATCTATTTATACTGAGAGTTTCTGATTAACGTTGCTACAGAACAGCATTTCTCCCATAATAATGTTAAGCTTCAGTAAAGATGCCTAGTAAGGACGAGAGGAAGCGGCCTCAGGTTGCACCAGGGAGGTTCAGATTGGGCATTAGGAAAAATTTCTTCACCAAAAGGGTGGTCAAGCATTGGAATGGGCTGCCCAGGGAAGTGGTCAAGCCCCCATCCCTGGAGGGATTTAAAAGCCGGGTAGATGAGGTGCTTAGGGACAGGGTGTAGTGGTGGACTTGGCAGTGTTAAGTTAATGGTTTGACTCAATTATCTTAAAGGTTTTTTCAACCTAAATGATTCTATGATTCTAAGATCTAAAATTAATTGCAAGAAAAATCAACTGGCTGCAAAGGGCTCACTATAGCTTAATGACAAGTTTTGCATATATAATTTTCCAAAAATACAGGAACTGGATGCTTACAAATATGGAAGTTTTTCAGAAATAATGCATTAGCTGTCCCGTTTTGCAGCATGCTTACCACTCTTATGAACTTGCTCATTTATTAAAAAATTTTTAGCACGCCATAGCTTAACTCCTTACAGCTTGTAACAAACCACTTTGCCCTGAACTCTGACTGACTGAGAAACTTGTGAGGAATGGAAATACGAGCTTGTAGAATCTATTTTCCCCTATAACCTGATTTCAGACACTTATGAACTCTGACTAAAATATTTTCTTCCTGTTTCTTCTATAAAAAAAAAATAAATCAAAGTGTATATTCTACATAAATGGTTACTTACTTTGTAGGGCTTTACTAAGAAGCAGTCTGCTTCAGTTGCCAAAACAGCTGTACACGTTGTCTTTGATGAAAGCGGATCACAGGTATTTGACTTCAGTATGCTGAGATGGGTGTTTTCTTGTTTTCTATATTTAGTCTGATTCTTAGCTCATTTACCATCATACACCATAAAAATAGGGATTTTTAAGATGTCAGTAAGTAAAGATAACTCAAAACCCAGTTAAGTGATTTCTAATAAGTGTGTATTGTATATTTGGAGAGAGGATATTAATATCCCAATCACAGGGGAAGTTATTCTATGTGAGTTGTGATTTGGTAAAACATCCTTGTCAGCGAAAATAAGTTAGGTTGCATGCTTTTTAAACTAAAAGTACATAAGGTCTGAAGTTTATAAAAATCTACAGTGAGGAATGTGTTACTTGGGATAAAGAAATTACTCTATGTGTGTTTGTATAAATATAAAACGTAATAAAATCCAAATATTGTACAAAAATTTTAAAAATCCAAAATACTATATAGGTTCTGGTACCAGAAAGCCAGGCGTCACCATGTTTGGGAGAAAAATCTGAAGAGGAGAAACTCAGTAAGTACAAAACCCAGCAACTTCCTGGAACTCTGAGGACTCTGAATAAAAATAACAGTCAAGAAAAATGCAGAGATAGTTCCTCCAAGGTAAGTAGGATTATCAAAACAGAAAAGGGTACATTAAAAGTATAAGTAAATTTAAATATCATATTTTATAATATAACCCCCCTGTTATTTTACAGTTGAATATAATTCATACAGGGTTTGATTGTTTTTTCTTATGACTTGACACTAAGCTATATAAATCCCTTTGCAAAGAAATTTCTCATTATTATGTATTTTGAAACTATAACTATGTGACAAAAATAAAAAGCAATTGTTAATGTTCTTTAGACCATTATGCTCTGAGACTTCTCTTTAAAGAGAAATGTTTGCAACGATACACTTGGAATCTCTTACGATATGCGGAAGTCTAGTATAGCCTCTGGAGACTTCCTAATGATCAGCAATAGTAATAGCTGTAATTAGAGGCAAGTCCTGTAGGCTTGGCTTTCACAAAGACTGATGATTACAAAAAAAGCATGTGGTTGTCAAGATGAATCCTGTATCTTGGTTATTGAAATCACAATTTCATGGGGCTGCTCCTATGCATAGCTGATTCTCTGGTTGAAACTGAGAGGAGCCCAATTCATTAAGCCTGGTGTTTCTTTTGTCCCCCAGTCATTCCAAAGTTATAAATGTATTATGGTTATATGAGGACTAACTACAGATATGCTAGGGATGGGGGAAAAGATGAAGCAGTGTCACCATGTTTTCATCGTGCAACAGACATGCAGTGAGTGACTGGCTACCGGTAGTCTAGTAAACCTATGCCTGAGGTTCTGCTGGTTTATAGCTTACATGATAGCTTTGCAGGAACTCCTGGGAATCACCTTGGTTACTTTGATTGTTAACAAGGGGCAGGATTTGTCCATACTTCATTGAATTAATTTAGAAAACAACAATCACTGATCTCAGTTTAAAAGCATTAGTTTTAATTAGTATATAATTCAAGTATTTTGGTGAACTTTCTCTAAAAAGGGAACTGCATGAAAATCACATTACGCTGATGTGTACAGCAACAGCAATTGACATTCCAATAATATAAAGTATCAAAAGACTCTTGGAAATAGATTGATTTTTTTTTTCTTTTTTTTTTTAATTTTGTGTTGTCATCTTTAAATCTGTGTATTATGGTCAAGTTTTTGCCATTCCTCAAGGTAACTACATCTTGTAAAAGGAAAGTGTCTGAAGCATCCGTGCTTATTCCTGGAACTACAAGATTTTCCACAAGGAGTCCACTGGTATTTGTTCGCACACGTAAGTTTACAAGTACTTTCAGGGTAAAAATATATTATAAATTGTCTTGAAATAGAAGCATGAACTCTGATCCTTTGCAGAGCTGGAAATGAAAAGTGGACCTTTTAAAATTTCCCTAGCAGGTGCTTTAAACTTGAAATTTTTTAACTAGGCCACTTGCTACTGGTCCATAGACGTGATGCAGGATAGTAGCTGCACATGCATTCCAACCAGCTGCTGCTGTTGGTCAGCTGTTTGCACTGGAGCAAGCTGAGAAGTCAGCAATCAATTAGAAGACCTAAAACTTCTTTCATCTCTCTCCTTGTATGCTCTTGGTTTAACGAATTCTCAGCAATTCATGCTTTTATAGCAGTTGCAGTGGAAAATTGTCTTTCTCCAATGTGTGTATCTATCACTCACATTTTACTCTTATCTAGAAACTGCATGTGTTTCTTCGAGGGGCAGCTGATTATATGGCTAATGAGCAAGGGGGGATCTGCTGCAAGGTTAAGTCACAGGTCCAGTGCTACTGATGCTTATGTCAAAAGTGCTTCTTGCAGAGAAAAGGATAAGGAATAGACTTTATCACAAATAGGAACCATCACTTTCCTGCTAATAGTCTTACTGTAACAGATATTTAATACTTTCTACAAGGGAGAGTTTTGTAAGACAGACCAGTAGAGGCTGGAGATGGAACTAGTGGCAGAGCAGCATGGCTGATAAACTTAATTTTCTTGCTTTAACTGTCTCAGGTGCATCAGTATCCTTAGTTGTGTATATCCATGTATCACATACAAATTAAAAAGTAACAGAGGCTAGAAAAGAAAGCATTTTCAGATTAGGATGGAACAAGACAGAGAATTTCTGTAACTTTTTTATTATGAGCTTAACCACACAGTCTATTCCAGCAAAAATATATTACAGTAAAATCTTCAAATAGGTGACCATTTTCTGCTGGAGCCAGGCTATAAAAAGCATTGTTTGCCTCCATACATTCACAGTCTATCAGCTCATTAACCTTCATGTAACTTAATTGAAATCAACAGAGTTATAAAGGGTACATAGTGAGTTGATATAAATACTAGCTAACTTTTTTTGAAGTTTATGGAATAGATGTGATTGTGGGCAAAACTCTTCATACTGATGTCACAGGCAGGGCAGTAATCGTAACAGAAGAAATAGAATTCTGACATGTCTGGTTTGTTTTCAGCCACTCCTTCTAAAGGACGATTTAAATTACCTTTGGAAATGAGGAGCTCTGCTGAAAGGTCTAACAATAATGCAGTAAATGAGGCCAGAACAAAGAATTTCTGTCAAGAACCTACTGGAGTATGCATATCATTCGTAGCTAAGTCTTTTATTTGGAATAACATTAATTTCTATTCTAGTTTGTTCCTAATTCATATTTTAAAGAGCTAGAGTTTTGCAGTCAGCAACTGGCTTTTAGAAAATAGTGGTTTTTACTTTATTGCACAATGTTTTCTTGTCCTCTGGATTTCAGGTTTAATATGTCTAAAGTCAGGCTGAACTCTTAAAAGATTAGCCAAAATTTGCATTCCCTCATCAATTCTGACCCCAGAGTTAACTTGCTTTTACTAGAACTGCAGTTCTTCCTTTGTGTATAATATGAGAACGGTGTATGCACAGAATCTCAAATTAATTATGCAATGTTGAAATACTCTTAAAAACATAGAATACATTCAGCTATAGTAGTGAAATGTTAATGTCTTCAGGTTATAGCATTTATAGTATTGGTTTTAGTGCATTTTTGATCAGGCATTCACTAAAATCAAACAAAACTACATAGGTGTCACTGAACTGCAGTTTGAGTACATGCATTTTTGCTTTTGTTCCAGTTGAACAAAGATTTCAAAGAAACATTTTAATTTTATTTCTGGTTCTAAATGTCTTTGTCACATTCAGTTCAAATCCCAGCCTATTGGATTCTGAAGCATTTTTTGAGATAGTCATGCTTTAGAAAAAGGCTTGTGTACTGTAGAATGTGTAGTTTACAATATTTCAAGTGTTACTTTCTAGGAGAATTTTACTTCTTTTGTTTTTATGGATTTTAATTGTTATTTATTGTGCTTTTTAGAGTGGGCAAAGATGTACACTAGACAACAAACTTTGTGAAATGGAACAGAAGATCAGGAAGTCCAATATCAGAAATGAGGCAAAACTACCTGAAAAGGTACTGGAATCAACACTTCTATGAAAAAAGTATTTATTAGGGAAAATACAATTTTATGAGGTTGTACTGTTTATAGTCCTATGCTAATAATTTCTTTTGGGTGTTATCCCACTGTAGCGTATGTGTGCTGAAGAAGTTTCAGAAATGATACACGAGGCAGAAATTGAGGCCACACAAAAGCAAACTTTAGGCAAGTAATTTTACAAGTGTTGATAGTCCTTACTTTTAAAATGATTTTATTTTTGTCCATTTCTTTTGTAATAATAATTGGTACCAAATTAATGTCTCATTTAGATGAAGCGTTAGATATTGTGCCTGATTCTCAGCCAGTAGGGAGAAGCAACAAACCTTTGTAAGTATTGGAAAAGAATACCAAGTCACTGTTGTCACTCACTTAAAAGGGAGTATTTTCAAGTATTTCCAGAATTGAAATTCTGTTGCATAGTTTCAGAAAATGCCAGAATTTGTCTTGTCTTTCCTGAGAGTTGCATTATGAACTGTTGGCTGTGTATGTCAGGTCACTTTTGTTATGTCATTTTATTTTTTTCATTCTGAAATTCATGAAAAGCACTCATATGTATTTGCTAAGACTACTTCATGACCAATACTATTCTGTTGTCTTAATGAAAGAATTTAAATTGGAGAATCTGTTTATGAAAATAGTACTCATTAACAAGATCAGAGTAGGAGTTTAAGCAAGCTTTAGTAGTAACAAGGAGATGAATTCTTTCAGATGGCATCAGAATGTAAAATACATATGACCTGGGTTTACATAAGTGAACTGTGCCATAAAAAGTAGTAGATTTGACACACCACAGAGTTACCTAGGTTCAAGGTTTAATGATAGCCACAGGATATTGTTGTCTCTGGAGCTGACTTAAAAATACATGTTGCTTCTGAAGGTTTGCCATTTTACTATGCAATGATTAATTGAACAATGGTAGAAAGCTTAGGTGCCAATGTAAAACACATTAATATCTACAAGATATCACTATTTTCCTGTTTTGTGATGCATGTTTATGATAATTAAGACTCACTTTCTGCAATTCACTGATAATAAGAAGGTATTATCTTTGTTAGGCTGCCTGGTCTTTTGGAGAGTTCTTTTGATAAAACCAAAACAATGAAAAAAAGAGCATGCTCTGTTCCTGAGGAAAATATAGCAACTGGTCGCAAGCAAAAGTTAAATCCGTCATTGGCACATACGTCCCATCCAGGTTATGTTCACTCTTTGTTAACTGTTAGTGTTAAAAATGTTTCAGATTATTTAACTTACAGCTGCGCTTTTTTATTTTCTCTGTATTAGTTTCCAGCGTTAGTGAAAGAACTGTGAAGCAAAAAGCCTTTTATTCAGTTTTTTTGCAGTATCTCTCCAGATAAACAAAGAAATTAAAAAAGAGAAGAAACCCAAGAAAATTAATTGATACCATTAGGGAAGAAAACGGCAAATACTTAGTGGGCAGTCAGAGTTTTGTTCATTTGGAACAGAAGCTGTTAGGGGAGAAATATTTAAACTAATACTGAAACATCATTTAAAACATTTCTTTCAGCTAGAGTGTCCGAAACGTCTTTGCATTCTGATTTTACAAAAGAGGAACCTGATTTGCTCTTTAGAAAAGAGACTGCAAATCCAAAACCATCAAAGACGGTGAGAGTTTCTTACCCTCATTTCTTTGACTTGCAATTAAGATAATTGTCAAATTTTCAATTTGTATTTTACAAATTGAATTTGTATTTTACTTTCATTTAGGCACAAACTTATTTTTACTTGACTTTCCACTAATACCAAGTGAATCAAATAATGCCGGCTTCATTATTTGCTTTTTTTACTGTGACCTGTTTAAGATGAGTTTACTCTAAATTTCTTTTTAAAAATCATCTTTTTAGGAAGTAATTCTTATTTAAGAACTAACTTGTGGCTCTTGTGCACTTCTTCATTCACTTTTGAATATTAGAGTTCACAAAACCACAAAATTTAAAAGAAAATATCTGCTAAACTGATGTGTTATTGCTCACTGTTTGGGCAACACAGGGAAAATTAGTTTCAAAGGAATGTGATTTAGTACATCTAGAAGACATTTAATGAAATGTAGGTGATTGTTGGGAACCTGTAGTTCTGTTTGCAGCTTTGCCCTTCTGGTTGAATGAGTTCAAAGTTGAGTCTTAAACTCATTTTTTTTATAGAAAAGAAAGTCTAAAGAAATGACAGATGCAACAAAATCACTAATTAGTAAAATCAGTGACAGGTATAAAGTAAAGACTGATGAGAAAAGCAAAGCAAGAGACTCCTTGGGTTTTAACAGGTATGATGTGAACTATTTACTTCTGTGCTTATTCTTTTTGTGTGTGTGGCTTTCTCTGTGATCTACTCCTCTGTCTACAGTTAGTTCACATCCTCCTTTCATCTGAATTGTTTGTTCACTTCTGATAAACCCTGTTGTACTGAAGAGTAGGAGACTAATAGTTGAATATTTCCAGAAGTTGAAATAATTACAAAAGCTGTTAGAAGCTAATCAGTGGTCTTTTGCTCATTCCCTCACTCACAGCGTGTTTTGTGGAGAGAATTGAACTGGGATAGTTCGCGGGCACTGCACGTGTTGGGTGTCTTCAATCTGTCATCATAGTTTGGGGGTCAGACTTGGATTCAGTCATCAATTTTCTTATTATCTAAAGTTCCTAGTTCTTTCTTCCTGAAAGAGTTGACTGTTAGAGAGTGTGAATTTTAATAAATTCTTAAATAAGAAAATTAGTCTTACCTTGCTGGAACTGATGCTTGGAGATACACTTTACATGTGATTACATGCTCTCTGTGCTTGATTGTAACTGGATGACAAAGGACTGGAATAGCTGGGCTACCTCACCTTCTGAACCTTTTGGATAGGGGCTTGGAAGACATGCAGAACCTGCAGTATAGCTGTGTCATGTGGAATGGGTTTTTCTAGAGCACAAAACCGAAAGGGGCCGATCTCTTTAATCCACTTGGTTTTTGTATTTAAATGCCTGAATAAATTTCTTGTGTTTGATAAGGCTTTTATTTATATAAGCACTATTCTAATGTATATATTCTAATTAGCATTTAACAAAATGTATCCTTATCTTTTAGGCCACATTTAAATAAATCCCATGTCTCTAAGGTAACCTATTATTGCTTTTGTTGGAAACTTTTTTCATATCGCCTATATGTACATATATGGTGGTAGGTAGTAGATGTAAAACGAAAGTTCACAAATATTGCTGAATGTTGAATATCTGTAGATGTTAATGTTAATTATGCATTGACTGTATATACTTAAAATACTTCTTATATATTTACTTATGTTGCATGATATTTTTACAGGTAACTCTCAGCCAGTTAAACCCAAATTAATTTCTGTTTGCATATTATATAATTGAATCTGTTCCTTTTGAACATGGCAATGCTAAATATTTGGAATAAAAATATTATAGTAAACGAGATTATAGAATCCTTAAATGGGGTATAGGTGGGAAACAGAAATTAGTCTTAATGTTTGGGGGCAAAAGAATTACAAGGTTTTGTTGATATCCTTAAAGGATAAATTCTAAAATTTTAAAAACTTTGTTTTCACTAGCTCTTGTCCCCTTTTGCCATGCTGTACTGCTGCTAATCAAGTGGAAGTCTGAGCATCTGCTAGGTTTTCTCATATGTTCATGATGAAGAACGTGCTTTTTGCAATGACAGCGTGTATGAATGCATAGTCCAAATTTGACATATGAGTTAACTTTTTATTTATGTATAGGAAGACGTTCAGGATAGAAACCTTAAAACCACTACTTTTCTTGATATAACTGCTGGTCATATTACGTAAGTAGATAAAATATTTTCATACAAAATTTCTAATTACCAAGTGTTCATTAATTCAGTCACAAAATTGATCTGTGTGTCTGTTTGACAGGGATGACATCTACAACTTTAACATCAGTGGGTTTGATGAGCCTACAATAAAGCTTGGAGTAAGAATATAACTGAAACTGATATGTTATTAATAGAATATAAAGGAGCTTAGTCAAATTATGTCTAGTGAAAGTATAGTTAACATCTAAAAATTCAAATTATATCACTGAACTAAGTGGGGAAAAGTTTGCCCTGTAAATACCTCCATCACTTTCAAATGTATAATGATACATGCTATCCTAAGGTTCTGGCCAATTAAAGTTATTACCATGTTTTCCTGAATTAAGAATAAAACATTTTTTTAGGAGTATCATTATTTTTAAATTATCCTATTATCCTGAAAGTGTTACTGCCATCCTTCCAATCCCCATTGTAAAGACATCTTTGCCCAGATGTTTGAGTATAAAGCGTATCTAGCTAAGGTAAAAGCAAAAGACAACAAAATATAGTTTTTCTTCTTATGGCTCAGAGGAGGCTGCTGAATTGGTGAAGGTAGTGAAGCAAGTGGATGGAAACTAATACATTAGTTTGAGATATTGAAAGCTTCAGTTAGTTCCTTTTGGTTTTAACTACCAGCTCTGTTCTTAAATAACTTCTAAGATAGAAATTTATAATCGTAAATTAACTGCTGAGTATAAAAACTGAGCAAAAAAGCCCTTAGCTGTTACTTACTGTCTGGTGGCCTGTTTAATTTTGTTTAAATTGTATAACAAATGAAAATCTTAATTTGTTTCTTATTTATCTACATTTTTAGATTCAAGAATTGCGTGTTACTGAACGGAGTGTTCACACAGATCCAAACAAAAAAGGGTAGGGATGTTATATTGTGTCCTAGGCTGCTGATTATCATCAAGAAAAGTACTGTCTCCGTTCTCCAGCATTCTGTTACGAAAATCCAGGGAATGTCTGCAGGACAATAATATTTTGACTGTGTTGTTTTTTCAAGCAGTAAACATAGCTGCTGTGGTCTTCTAGGGTGTTTCCTGATTTTTCCTTTGGGAAGCTGATAAAAAGGAAAGAATGTGTTTCATGAAGAAAACAGCTTTAGTTCTCTTCATGGAATACTGCCAGGACATAAACTCCTGCATAGAGGGGGGTAGTTTTTTGTTAAGGATCAGCCTGCAAAGGGATGTATTGTTACTGCGTGTTCTTACTGATCACTAGCAAATAAGTGCATCCTTCAGGGTTTAAGGTGAACAAATATTTCCGAAGTGGATGTGAAAACAAAAGTAGGTACACTCGTTTGAATCCTTAAACCACGTATCACATGAATAGTAGAAAGATTTAGAACAAGTATTTTTAAATGTACTGTTTAAAGGTATTTTTTTCTTCTTCTAATTAAGGAACGCAGAAGATAATAAACCTAGCATTGAAGTGAAAGGAAGAAAAAAAGTAAGGCTCAGGTTTTTGTGGATCAGTACACGTTGTCTTCCTGCCTTTAAATACCAATTATTTAAGTGAAAGGTATATCAAAAGTAAATCAATAGCTTAAGAATTTTTTTTTGTTTTTGTAGACTAGAAACAATCAAAACAAGAAGCACCTCTTTAGTGACACAGACACAGAATACAGAGGTGATGACAGCAAGACAGACATCAGTTGGCTACAAGAATCAAATAGAAAAGCTAAAGCCCCGTTAATTGATTACAGTAGAAATAAAAACTTAGGGAAAACAATAAACGCAGACAAAAGTAAGAAACTTTTTTCACACTTCTTAAGAACGCTGCAATAAATTTGTCCATAGATCTCAACTGCACAGCATGTAATGTGCTGTGTTGCAGATACAGTATGTTTTTGTTGTCTCATTTCCAAGCATAAGGAATTTTCAAATAAGTTCTAATCATTTATAAAGGTTAATTTCCAAAAAGTTTTTATTTTAACATGGAAAATTATTGGAGGGTGGGACAAGCAGAGGTTGTTGTCAAGAAAAAAAAAAAAACTTTGACTTCTTAAAACAATGTGCTGAAAGCAGTTTACTGAATCAGTAAGGTTGTGGGATAAAAGTGATTCTGTGATTTTTACAGCTAAACCTCTAAATGTCAAATGTTTGAATATTTTGATGATTTTTCTAACTTTATGTATTGTAACAGCAGATAAATTCTCTGAACTTCCTTGCCACATGGATAAACCTAAAGGCAAAAATGCAAGGAAGAAAAAGGTAAACGTAAATTTGCAACTAGACTTGTAATACATATTCAAAATATCTTAACTATATTATTTCACTGCAGAAACTGTTTCAAAACAATTTTTCATAAAATATGTGCCATTTCTGTAAGCTTATTTCAAGATAGTTTGTTAAATACAGTTCATTTCAGACAATTATTTTTATGTAGTATTTATCTAGTATTTCAGCCATAATACTAGCTATGAGTTAGAATGGTTATTATACATCAATGCTTTTGTAAGTTTTACTACTTAAAATTATTGATTATGTCTATTTACAGCTTAATAGCTACCTACTCCATTGAATATGCCATTAGCTTTTCAGCAAGGGTTTTCATGTGTCTAATGTGCTTAATTGAAGTTTAATACATTTGAGATAATTTCTTTAAATGAATATATGTAACGGTGACACTGTGAAAACAAGAATGTCACAGATGTTAAGAAAGAATAATAATTGCAAAATATTTGAAGTATATTAAAGTTGGGAGTATAATAAATTATAAGTGATTATGAACATGTTAGTGGCAGTGCTTGTAGATGTTTGTAAGCCACAGTTTAAGAAACAAAAAAACCCCAAACCTTCCCTTGTTCCCTCCAGACTACTCTTTGGTTTCTCAGACTGTACAATAATTATTCAAATCTAATGTTAGTAGCTTAAAGCTACATACATGCAGTCACTGTAAATCATGCATATGAAAATATGATCACCACATGTATTGATGGTGATGTCTAGTCCACATAAATCAAAACTGAAGAGGGCCTCAGTTCTGAACAGTGCTTCAAAACTGAGGAGGATTTGAATTGCCCAATGTTGAATTTGTCCTTTTTTAGTAGCAAAATTCCCCAGATCTACCCAAGCAAGTTCAACGTGACTACTTTGGGGGGGTGGGCTTCCACTACTGCATAGGCTTAGATGGAGAGCATTGGAAGCCCAGGAAGTCACTAATAGACTTGACCCTGGAGATGAGGAGGCTGGGAGAGCGTATGTTTTAAATAGAGCACTTTTCAAGAGAGTAGGAGGCAAGAACTCTAATCTCTCTTAGTCTGAAAAGCGTTGCACTCACATTTTAAATCCCTTCTAAGTACTTCCAGTGAGAACATGCTTTGCTCTGTTTCTGAACATTGGCTGCTGTGTAGAGAGAGTGGCAGTAGTTATGATGTAGAAGGGGGACAGATAGAAAGGAAGACTGATTCTAGTTGAGTGGTTAAGGTAATCACTTCAGAGGTGATGACCAAGGATACTGGTTCCTGCTCACTATGCAGGCTTTTGGTTTTGTTCTATTTCAGACTAGTTACAGTCTAATTTAATTGTGCACATATTTCAGAAAGCAAGCTTTGGAAACCCATTTCAGCTTTGCTGTAGTTCAGAAGTGGCATTTATTTTGCCTCTTCACTTTTTTGACTTTCTGACATTCCTCACTGCGCTGTGCCCTATCTATAGTGAAAATTATCTTCCTAAAATGTTTAGTAGACTGGTGGTTGGACTTTCTGAGCTTTGGTAAAGTTAAACTTTTTTAGTTATTTTGAAATAATGGATTTCAAGTAATTAAACCAAGTTACCTGCCATTTATTCTTACATATTTATTAATCATTCCGATATAAAGTGGACATGTTTTTATTCTTCCAAAGGTAAAGGAATGTAAAAAACAGAATTCAGGAACTGATGAAATAGAGCAAAACACCAGACAAAGGCGACCTCGAAGAGCAGCATTAGCAAAAAATTACAAAGACCCTTCCAGTTCAGAGTCAGAGTGTGAAAGGAAATCTCCAGTATGCACCTCTAAGGAAGACAAATCAAAAGGACAGGTATACAATTGTACTTTAATCTCAAAAATCCACTTCTGCAATATTTTTCAAAATAAACTCTGGTTTACTTTGTACATAGTACTCCTGAATTTTAAGTGCCCAAAATGAGCAACTTAAACTGAATTTTATTTATTCTTTCTAGTAGTGCCCTTTTTTAATTATGAGTATTTAGCTACTAAGAAAATCAGTCCTAAATAATCTTCTCAGTCATAATAGCATTTCAGTTTCTATTTATGAAATTTATTCTGCTGCAAAAAACTACTGTGTCCTTTTTTTAAAAAACTCAATGATATTTTGGAAAAGTCTATTAAGTGGGAGGTTTTAGTGAGCCAAACTTTGTTCTTTTAGATAATGTAGGTTTGATAATGCTGTGCCTATTCTGTGTAGAATAGAAAACACTGGCTTGATAGAGGGTATGACAATACATTTGCTGAATAGGCAAATAGAATTTTTAGTAAATTAAGCAATGCCGTTGGGTGCTAAAGCATTTTCATTCTTTCAGTATAACTTTTCAATGTATATGGGTAGGTCTGTAAACTTCATTGATTAAATCCTGAAGCATTGGTAATTGCCTCCAATAGTTAAAAAGTTAATGAGAATAGAAATTTGGGTGCTGAAATAAACAAATTTAATGCTTATTGATATTGAACACCTGATATCCCTATGAATTTAAGTACTTCTAATGATGTTCCTTTTTGGACCTTCTGCTTGTTCAATGGTACATATAAATAATATGCTGTTTACTTGCATCTATATACACTTTTGTGTGTTTACAAGTAATGTCTTATATAACCTTGTATTTTAATAGAAACCTATGAATGGGGAAAATAAGGCTGATAATCAACAAAAGGAACTACAGAATATTGTATCTATGGAGCCAAAGAAAGTAGCTAACTATGTACATAAAGCATTTATTAAATCAAAGAATTCTGCAGAGCAAGAGGAAATTGAAATGCCTTCATCTGAGAGTCTTGGATCCCCTGAGACAATGAGATGTAGGTATTTTGACTTTTAATTTATAGCAATGCTGTATCAAGAGTTGGAGGTTAAATGAGGATTATCATGGTACTACAATTTTACATTTATTTCATGCTTTTAAAATAAGAGACACGTCCTAATTCAGTGTCTACAACATAATTTAGGAGGTGTGTTAATATGTCACTAACACTTTCATAGGTTGGTGCAGTTGTTTGACATCAACATAATATAGAAGTGTAATACATAAGTGTTAGAATGAATCTGGTAACTGCTAAAATAGTGCAGAGAGTGCAAAAAGTGCACGTATGTTAAATTGTCTGCCAACACTTAAAGTAAAATTCCACACATCTGAGGCTTGCAAATACCTAGAGTTGGAACAGTTAGCAATATGGGGCTTTAACTTACCCTTTTTTCCTTTCATTCCTCATGCTCCCAGTTAAGTAACTGTTTTCTAGGTGCTGAAAGAGTATCGGAAGGAGATGTTACTCAAGAACATACCTATAGTGAAAGATCACCTGGTCTTCAGGAGTCAACGCTAGAAAAAAGAGAATCCTTAAATTTTGAGAAAGGAATCTCTCTCAATAATTTCTGTCCACAAAAAAAGAACATTCAAAGTGTATGTCTAAATCAGTCCCCCGAGATGACTGTTAAAAAGTTAACATTTGGAAATAAAAGTTTCTCACCAGTTTTAACTGAAGCATCTTTGGTAAGAATATTAAAGTTACTCTACAATTACTTTAACTGAAATAATTCCATTCAGTTTCCACCTGTTTTATGCTTTTGTACATCTCCTTTCAATAATGATTTTTTTTCCTGTTAATGTGTAGCTCAGCTTAACAACATATAAAACTGTCAGTGGAAAATGTGAAAAGGGATCTGTATCTGAAACACGTGATAATAATGAAGAGTCAAGTTTCAGACATTGCTTTTCAGACACATTTTCTATTAAAGGAAAACTACAGGATATCACTAAACCTGTCACCAAAAGTAAGGAAGAGGTATGTTACGAAATCCTTTGTTCTTCAGAAGAGAGCTGCAGCTTTCCGTCTATTTTATCTACTTTACAGATGGTGAGGTTTAAGGGAAGTGCATCTTTCTTAATGTTAGACACATTATATATATATAATGTTTCCTTGTGACCTGCTTGGAAAATCCTACTAGTTAATTTTTAAAATATTTGAGATACATTAAGGAGTATATATTCAAGAAAAGAATTGTATCTCAACAAGATCAGTTATAATTAATATCTTAAAAAATATCAGGGACTAAATATCTTCTTCTTGACTTTTCAATAAAAAATAAATGATTTTTCACAAATTAAAGAATTGTGACATCTGCATGTAAAAATTCTTGAGGTGAAAAAGTGTTCTCATAGTTTTACCATTAGTTTACTACTCAATATAATGACTATTGTAGTACTGGCAAATAAATAAAAGCTGCCATAAACCTTCAAACCTCTTCTTGTACGTACTTTTTCTGGTGAAAAAGCACTAATGACTCCTTTAAGAAATTTTGTTTGTGTCCTATTGCAAGAAAGAGTTAGACCTTATTGGTCATTTGATTTACTGCTATCATTAATTATTAACTTGGTGAAGAATTTGTTTATTCTTTCATTTAGTGAGAAGTGAGACCTAATAGTAATTCATGCAGTGATTTTTTTTTTTCTTACTGTAGTTGTGTTCATGTCCATAGTTTAATGAAAGGCAACATAAATATGGATTTCTGATGAAGACTTCTAAAAGTGCTTTAATTTGGAAGCTAATAAATCAGTGGCTTTTTTTTCTAGGATTGTGTACTACCATCTCCATTGTCTGTTTCCAGTGGAAGTAAAGTACAGTCTTGGAGCGAAGAACCTTATGGCCCCATACATGAGTCAGGTACAAACATTTAATTTAAAGCAAAAGACTTTCTATGTGTTTCTGTAAAGGTTAAGAAAAATGTTTATTTGGCATAAAAATATGGCCCAAGTCTTCTACTCTTGTTTTCTTTTATATATTTTCAGTATTATTCCATTTTTACTCTTTTTTTTCTCATTTTCTCTGCTGTTTTAATTACCCCCCCCAAAAAAGTGAAAATTTGGCTTCAAATTGCAGTTACTGTAAAGAGTTGCGCTCTTAAAAGTTAGAAGCATTCCCACTGATACTGGGGAAAAAAAAGTAGCAGTAACGGTATTATCAGGAAAAGAGGGCTTAGGGTGGATCTTTAATGAGCGAGTCTTGCATGGGTCAGAGTTCTGTGTTCCGTTGAAATCCTGTTGTTCATTTACATCAAGTTCTCAGATCTACTGAACATATGCCCTCCACAAACGTAATGCGTATTGTTATATAGTTCTCAAGCTTTAAAGACAAGGCACATAATCCTAGAGTTTGGATCCAAAGGATCAATAAACTCTTCTTTATCCTCCTATGCAATTGTTCTAAATGATCCTAAAATTAAGCATTGTTTTCATGTTTATTAAAGGACCAACTATACAGACATTCAAACGAAGGTACCACAGTGATACAGAAAGCAATTCTGATGAAGTAGAAACAAGCAAACAGACGCTCAAACGAAGGTACCACGGTGAAACAGAAAGCAACTCTGATGAAGTAGAAACAAGCAAAGAGGAGGAGAAGAAAGGAAACAGAACAAGAAAGTTACAGCCTAGAAAATTGTTTAAAACAGATGATGCTGTTACTTACAGAGGTTAGTTATGGAGTGCAAGTTGACCATTGTTGCGCAAGAGTTTAAAATAATGTAACAAATCAAAGTATTAACACAAAAAGCTAATATCCATAACAAAAGCTGTTCTAGGCCCTGTTGTAACTTTTGGATAGAATACTTCTTCATACTGAATTGTGACATTGTCTTTTTTTACTTCTTTTCAGTGTCTGAAAGCGTATCTACTGTATCTGTAAATGATCTGTCTGTTTTGGATGGGGAGATCTGGGAACCTGGTTGTTCAACTCTCAGTATATGTCAGAAGCTCCAAAAAGAATTTACTAAGAAAATTGAGGCAAGCAGTTTCATATACAATACTAGTTCTCTGCGTGGGTACATGTGCGTATGAATGAGAGCTTTTCTTATTCCACAGAATTTACATAAAAGGGCATGAAAATAGCTAAGTGCATAGAACTTCAAGAAATGACAGAACTCAAGTTTCCTTTTATGCCTTTTTCAAATCCTTTATATACCTAACTCTCTAATGATTTTCTTTCCCCGGTCTGTTTTGTTTTTTATCCTGTGTGTTGCTTCAAAACAAGCTTAATGTATCTAAAGCTTTTACTGCATTTTGTTTTTTATCAAATTATCAAACCCATGAAGGAAATTTATTCTCAAAAAGGAAAACACAGAATGATAGAATGGTTTGGATTGGAAGGGCCCTCCAAAGACCATCTAGTCCAACCCCCCTGCCATGGGCAGGGACACCTTCCACTTAGACCAGGTTGCTCAAAGCCCCATCCAGCCTGGCCTTGAACACTTGCAGGGATGGGGCAACCTATGTCACTGTCTCACCACCCTCGCAGTGAAAAATTTCTTCCTTATATCTAATCTCTACCTACCCTCTTTTAGTTTAAAGCCATCACCCTTTGTCCTATCACTACCTACCCTTGTAAAAAGTCCCTCTCCAGACATGAGCCTGAATAATGCATTTGTTCATCTAAGACAGCTGTAAGTACGCATTGTTCATTCCATGTGTACTTTCTCTGTCTTGAGGAAACACATTTTTCAAATAACGTATTTCTAATTAAGTTAGGTAGAATTTTATCAAAAATGTAAACCCATGTTTGTTTACATTTCATTAACAGAAAGCTTTTCCTTAGAGGATAGGGAGATAATAAAAAAAAAAGTTTTTTTCTGCTCAGTATGATCTGTGATACTAAGAAATTACAGTACTAAACTTACTACAGTTTTTTTCCTAAAGTGAAAATAATCTGAATTTAATGTTAAAACATCCTCATAGAGCCGCTCACAGAAAATGGATCACTTTACTAAGCAATCATTACGAGCTGCCCATCAGCATTTGACAACAATGAGTTACCAGCTTCACGAATGCAGGTCTGTAATGGAACGTTTATGTTAAAACACCCTTAAGATGCAATGAATACCTTCTAAAAGTGACTCATTTTGTTTTGGTAGGATCAGGCAGCTGGACAAATTTCATTTTGCTCTTCTTGAGGAGCTTGAGAATTTTGAAAAAGATTCTCAGTCCCTGAAAAACATGGAAAAAGAATTCTCGGTTTGTATTTTAAGTGCTTGGATCATGGAGAAAAGTGAATTCTTATGGAATCTATAGATTATTCATATCATCTTTATCTTTAGGTCACTAATTCTGATTTTAAAAGCCTTTATCATTTTGCTTAAAGTTGGGTCAAATTTCAAATAATGAATTTGAGTTGTTAGGATTGGCTAATGCTGTGCTCTTAGAATTTCTAGTTTACCACTGTGTTTCTCCTCCTAGAATAAACTACAATTACAGCTTTTAATGGGCTGCTTACCCCAATTCATGACACTGGTTTGGTTTTTTTTTCAGCTGGCCTGTATTTCAGGAACAGCATGTAGGCATTTGAACGTAATTTGATGTGTGTTCTGCAATGAGACAGTTGACATTATGGGTCTGCTACTTGCTGTAATGTAAAAATAAAAAAATCAGTATACAAGTATTCATTTAAACATAAGACTCTGCTTTTTTTCTTCTACTCTGATGGCATGGCTTAAATTATTTGGAAAATCTGATTAAAATGCGATGCATATTCTTTTTTACTGTTTTGAAACTTAAGCAGAACAGAACTTTGCTGAAGCTGGTTCCGTGAAAATAGAATCCCTGAAGTGCCTCATCCTGATGGCTAAGCTTATTATTGTTTTCAAGTTTCTGTGGTGATTGTGTCACTCCTACCCATTCTGTGCTGAGTCTGTGGTTGTAGGTTATTTTATTCATATTAGATAGCAGTCAGTTTCAGTTCGGAAAAGATTAGCTCCTACTGATTATCATCTATTAATATTTGTCTTTCCAGACCTTTTGGAAAAAACATACGCATACTTTTAGTACATACATGAAAAATGAGCAACAGAGGTTAGTAGGCTTCATTAATCCCGGGTGGAGATTTGCGTTCTGTTCATTCGAGGTATGAATTAGGCCAAGTACTATTCCCTATGCAATTTCTCTCTTCCATAAAATAGAGATAGTAGATGAGATGAGAAAATGAGATTAAAATGTTACGTTAACAGGAAAATTGTAATTATTTGCCATCTAAATTTCTCCACATACCTACTGGACTATTCCAATAGTAAAAATGATGGTAATATTTATCCATGCTTTTAAGTACAAATGGACTACAAATAATGGGAAGTGTTCATGATGTGTGTGGAAAGTTCATATGTAGCAAAGCCATTTCAACTGCCTTTTATTTCTTTAGAATTCAGATTCTTAAAACTTCATTTGAAAAGAACATCTACCATACTGTTGACTATGAAGAACATATTTTTACTTCAGAGGTATGATGTTTTGTTTCTTTCTTGATTGTAATAATCTTTAATTCCTTAATTTTACCAACAGATACCAGTATTGGCTTTTTTCCAAAGAAAGTCTTTATCCTCAGCATTTTTTTAATGCCACATAGGTATTTTTGTAGTTTTTTCATTGTCATAAAATATCCTTTAGTGTGACAAGATTCAGTGTCTTAGGGCTAGAGTTCACCTGTTTAAAAGGTATGTGCAATTATCTGGAAAATTGCTGCAAGAGTTATTCTGTATTCTGTGGATTTATTTTACCAGTGTTGATCATCCAAGAAAGAATACATTTAAAACACACGTCCCTTTCCTTAGGCAGGTGGATGCATGTGCATCTGTATCTCTTGGTTATAAACTATTTAGGGATATAATTGTCTTCTTGAAAATGGGTTACCAATTGTGAGCAGAGAAGATGTATTCAGTATCTTTTTATAGATGCATCTGATGAAAGAAGACATAAAAGGACTCCAAGAGAAACTTCTTAAAGAAATGGTAAATGAAGTTATCTTGTCCTTATTTTTATTTATTAATTATAGCTGTTTGCATACTAAATACTAAAAATTGTAATTTCTAGTCCTTTATCAAAAATTAGCTAGAATCCAAGTATCACTGACATGTTATGCTTTAAATTTCATCGAAGTGATAAAAGCAGCAGGTAGATATGGACATACTGCTTTAGTTTTGAGTCTTAATATGTTGAGTGTTGACGTGGAAAAGAAAAGCACCATATTTGATAAGTTACAAGCAGCATATACTATGCACCAGGATTACAGTACGTTAAAAAAAAAAAAAACAAAAACAAACAAACAAACAAAAACTTTATTTAAAGTATGTGGTAAATTGACTGCTTTTTGCACAGCAAGAAGAGGAACTGTGTAACGTTCGCAGAGGATTGCAGGCATTTTTTCAAGCAGAAGATAGAATTCTGAAGTAATATTTTCAGATACCTTCCTGAAATTCAAGGTGAATGTAAACACTCTTATAATGTAAAATTTGACAATTTTTTTTTTTTTTTACACTCAGGAAACTACTGTAATGAAAGCATATTTTCCTTTATAATACTAAAAACTTTGTGGATAAGATTTCTCCTTTTATATGTGAGATTTGGAATTATTTTACTGAATCTGCTAAAATGCAATATGTAAATTTTTGGATTTTTAGCATATGTTATTTTTTAAGAAGTCTTTCTTTAATAATTTTTATAGGTTATTTAACTGACTTTCAGATAAATCACTTCAAATTTCACTTTGAATCTATGTTTTGGGTCTGTGTGTACAGAATAACCCCTTTTGTCTGATCCAGGCTACAGTCAGAAATTATTTGGGGATCAGATTGCCTGTTTTGATCTTAGTCCTATTTGTCTGTGGTGTTAGACTTCAGTAGGAGTTTCTAGGAGAAAACAACACTCTAAACATCTGTGGTTGAACTACATTGCAAATAGCTGTATTAAATATTTAAAGAAAAATATATATTGCCTGTCTCTTTTTTTTTTTTTTACAAAGTGATGTTATTACTATTTTAATTTAAATCAGTGATACATGTTTGCACATCAGTCAAATAAAACTTACACAAAATATTTGTGCAGCAGTAAGGCAACAGATATCAAGAGGGTCAGAAATATATCCTACATACTAACACAATTTATTCTATATACTTAGATTTCAGAAGATTTCCTAAGAAAACCACCAGGGAGTCATAATTTACACTTGTCTTCTGTTGCATGTATCACCTAGAAGGTTTCTTCTGACTATTTATGATGTGTAACTTCTAAGCTAATATTTCTCTCAATTTACTTTTGCATTAAAAAACTACCTTGCATTCCATAGTGATTTAACAACCTCTTAATCTTTTTTTTAAACTTGGAATCCTGCATGTGTATACTGTAATCTTTACAGGCTCAGGACAATACCTTTAATATTTTTCATTTAAGTTCTCTTAAAAAATGGGGATTAAAAACTTGCAGCTGATCAAGAAGTAACTGATGTAGAGAACAACTCGTGGAACGTGCATGCCTTGGCGTTTCTCTACATTACCACGTGCAGAGCTGCCTCTTTACCATGGAACTGACTCCAGATTAACACTCCCAGCATCTCAGGAGCCTGTGCTCACTCAGCACCACACTTGCACAACTTCACAGCTTCTGGAGCAAGGCTGAGGAGGGTACATACTTGTCTGTAGCTGATGTTATGACCACAGAGGTCTCAAAAGAATATATTAGCCAATTTGGGGGTAACAGCTCTTAATTGCTTTATAGCCCTTATTTTACATTCCATTATACCTCTTATTTTGCCCTTTGGTTGTCTTTAATGCTTCTCTGTCATCTCTTCCATTGTCCCCTCTATGCTCTGAACTCTTCTGGTTTTCCTCAGTTCCCTTCCTACATTCCTAATATCGCTTTTGTTACGAACAGAGACCCTTACTTACAGTAGTGTTCTTTATTTTTTTTCTCCTATGTTACTGAAACCACTCAGTCTATAGCTCTCAAACGCTTACTTATTTTCGTTCCAACTAGTTCTGAATGTAGCTATGAGGCTATATTGCTATTGTTATTATTGTCTAATATTTTTTTAAAGTCTAACAGACTGGCTTTCATCATTTTAAGTTGTTGTCTGTTATGTAGGTCTTATGTTGATTTGGCTTCCTTCAAACCCACCTATCACTTTTTCAAAATATTTATCCTGTAG